TTTTTTAATTTACCAGAAACTTCAAAATAAATTCTCACCCTGTACTGAAACCTGTTTCCAAGATATTACCACCACCAGCTGGTAAGGCGCGTGACTTCAATTTGAACCCCACCCACTGCAACCGGTACTGAAAGGGGCTATGAAAACACAACGTGTACTGTACCGTGTCGAGTTGAACCGTGATGTACCAGTACCAAAAGGTACTATGGAAAAGGGGCATAATTTGAGACTGAAGTCTTAAAAGTTTTACTTCTAGAGGAGGAACTAAGGAGAGCTTAGGTTCCTGTGGACTTTTGTGTGTCTGTTTAAATATCTAAACGGTTAAATCTTTGTCAACAATCCTCAAATTCAAACGGTATCTGTCCTGTGTGGACAGTCATGTGTAAGTTTAAAGTTATCTCATGGCTGAATCTTTGTCCACAGAGCTCACATTTAAGTAGTTTCTGTCCAGAATGGACTCTCATGTGAAAGTTTAAATCTGTTGTCTGCCTAAATCCTTGTCCACAAAACTCACATTCATATGGTTTTGCTCTTGTGTGGATTTTCATATGCGAGTTTAAACTTGACTTATGGCCAAATCTCCGTCCACAATTCTGGCATTCATAAGGTTTCTGTCCAGTGTGGACTCTCATATGCGAGGTTAAACTTGACTTATGGCCAAATCTCTGTCCACAATTCTGGCATTCATAAGGTTTCTGTCCAGTGTGGACTCTCATGTGCGAGTTTAAATTTGACTTCTGGCTAAATCTTTGTCCACAATTCTGACATTTATAAGGTTGCTGTCCTGTATGGACTCTCATGTGCGAGTTTAAATTTGACTTCTGGCGAGTTTGACGTCCGCAAATCTTACATTTAAATGGCTTCTGTCCTGTATGGAGATACATATGTCCCTTTAAACGGTGTTTATAGCTAAATCTTTGTCCACAAATCTTACATTCATATGGTTTTGCTCCTGTGTGGATTGTCATGTGAGTGTTTAAACTTGACATCTGGCTAAATCTCTGTCCACAATTCTGACATTCATAAGGTTTTTGTCCTGTGTGGACTCTCATGTGTGTTGTTAAATTTATTTTACTGTTAAACCTTTTATCACATTCATCACAGCTAAATGATTTTGGTCCTGTCTGGATTTTCCTGTGTCTCTCTACACTTTTCTTCTGACCCAAACAACTTGAATGTCTTCCTGTTGAATGACATGTCATGTGTCTCTGAAGTGATTGGTTGTGTAGAAATTGTTTACCACACTCAGAGCAGCTGAAACATTTGTTGACAGAGTTTACAGCTGAATCAGGAGCTCTGCTCTCCTTCCAGTCTTTGTCACTGTCTTCATTTGTTGACCCAGAGTCTGAAAAGTGTTCCAGCTGAGAGTCGGGATTGTTCCCATCCTCGTCCTCTTCATCATCCTCACTGACTTCAGACTCTGAAGAGCTAGAAGCATCTCCATGAGGATTTAGATCTGGGTTCCTGCTGGTTTCTGCTCCTCCACAGTCCTCTCCATCAGCTTCTACTTTCACCTGGTCAGCTGAGCTGCTGGTTGGAACATCTCTGTCCTCCATTTGATGCTGATGAAGTGAGAACTGAGGCTTCTCTTCATCATCCTCACTCTTCAGATAAACTGTGGTGAATGAAAACCTGCTGGCATCAGTCTCCTCCTTCACATTGAGCTGCTCTCCCTCTAATCTGGTCCAGAGTTCCTCCTCTTCCTCCTTTATATGGAGGGGCTCTGGATTCTGCTGATGAATATGTGAGAACAGAGGCTTCTCTTCATCATCCTCGGTCTTCAAATGAACTGCAGTAAACAAAAACCTGCTGGCATCAGTCTCCTCCTTCATACTGAGCTGCTCTCCCTCCAATCTGGTCCAGAGTTCCTCCTCTTCCTCCTTTATGTAGAGGTGTTCTGGGTCCTGCTGGTCCACATCAGGCCTCCATTCCTCAGGAGCATCCGGTCTGATCAGCAGAGTCTGCTGAACATCTGCAGGAAACACTGAAACACAGACAATAAGGAATGAATATAACTTTATATTCACTCATACATCACTTGTACGGCTGGGAGATATGTCGATATTTTAAAAATATTGTAGTCTTCCCGGATGATCGAGCTTCTCACCCTATCTCTAAGGGAGAGCCCAGACACCCTGCGGAGAAAACTCATTTCGGCCGCTTGTATCCGAGATCTTGTTCTTTTGGTCACAACCCAAAGCTCATGACCATAGACGAGGGTAGGAATGTAGATCGATTGGTAAATTGAGAGTTTCGCCTTTTGACTTAGCTCTCTCTTCACCACAACAGACCTGTAAAGCGCCCGCTTCACTGCAGACGCTGCACCTATCCGCCTATTGATCTCACGTTTGATTTTTCCCTCATTCGTGAACAAGACCCCAAGATACTTGAACTCCTCCACTTGGGGTAGGACCTCCTCCCTGACTCGAAGAGGGCACTCTACCAATTTCCGGCTCAAGACCATGGCCTCGGATTTGGAGGAACTGATCCTCATCCTGGCCGTGTCGCACTTGGCTGCGAACCACTCCAGCGAAAGCTGTAGATCACAATCTGATGAAGCCAACAGGACCACATCATCTGCAAAAAGCAGAGAGGCAATCCTAAGGCCACCAAAACGGATCCCCTCAACACCTTGGCTGCACCTAGAAATTCTGTCCATAAAAGTTATGAACAGAATCAGTGACAAAGGGCAACCTTGGTGGAGTCCAACGCTCACCGGGAACAAGCCCGACTTACTGCCGGCGATGCGGACCAGGCTCTGACACCGGTCATACAGGGACCTAACAGCCCGTATCAAAGGGCCCGATACCCCATACTCCCAGAGAACCCCCCACAGGGTTCCCCGAGGGACGCGGTCGAACGCCTTCTCCAAGTCCACAAAGCACATGTAGACCTGTTGGGCAAACTCCCACGCACCCTCCAGGACCCTGCTGAGAGTATAGAGCTGGTCCAGTGTTCCACGACCAGGACGAAAACTGCACTGCTCCTCCTGAATCCGAGGTTCGACTATCCGACGGACCCTCCTCTCCAGAACCCCCGAATAGACCTTACCAGGGAGGCTTAAAAGTGTGATCCCCCTGTAGTTGGAACACACTCTACGGTCCCCCTTTTTGAATAGGGGGACCACCACCCCGGTCTGCCAATCCAGGGGAACTTCGCCCCGATGTGCACGCAATATTGCAGAGTCGTGTAAGCTAACACAACCCAACAACATCCAGAGCCTTAAGGAACTCTGGGCGAATCTCATCCACCCCTGGGGCCCTGCCACCGAGAAGCTTTTTAACCACCTCGGTGACCTCAACACCTGAGATTGGGGGGCCCAACCCAGAGTCCCCAGGCTCCGCTTCCTGAGTGGAAGACGTGTCGGTGGAATTGAAGAGGTCTTCAAAGTATTCTGCCCACCGACTCACGACATCCCGAGTTGAGGTCAGCAGCACACCACTCACACTATAAACAGTGTTGGTAGCGTACCGCTTTCCCCTCCTGAGACGCTGGATGGTGGACCAGAATTGCCTCGAAGCCGTGTGGAAATCATTCTCCATGGCCTCTCCGAACTCCTCCCATGCCCGAGTTTTTGCCTCAGCGACCACCCGAGCCGCATGTCACTTGGACTGCTGGTACCCATCAGCTGCTTCCGGGGTCCCACAGGCCAAAAAGGCCCGAAAGGACTCCTTATTCAGCCTGACAGCATCCCTCACCGACGGTGTTCACCACGGGGTTTGAGGGTTGCCACCGCGACAGGCACCAACAACCTAGCGGCCGCAGCTCCAGTAAGCCTCCTCGACATTAGAGGCATGGAACATAGCCCACTCGGACTCAATGTCCCCCACCTCCCCCAGAACATGTTCCAAGTTATCCCGGAGGTGGGAGTTAAAGCTCCGTCTCACAGGAGACTCTGCCAGATGTTCCCAGCAAACTCTCACCATACGTTTGGGTCTGCCAGGTCTGACCGGCATCCTCCCCCACCATCGGAGCCAACTCACCACCAGGTAGTGATCAGTGGACAGCTCTGCCCCTCTCTTCACCCGAGTGTCCAAGACAGGTGGCCGCAGATTAGATGAAACGACAAAGTCGATCATCGAACTGCGGCCTAGGGTGTCCTGGTGCCAAGAGCACATATGGACACCCTTATGCCTGAACATGGTGGCGGAGGGAGGCTACCCTATCATTCACTGGGGTGAACCCCAACACACAGGCACCAAGATGGGGGGCAATAAGTATGCCCACTCCTGCTCAGCGCCTTTCACCAGGGGCAACTCCAGAGTGGAAGAGTGTCCAACCCCTCTCAAGGAAACTGGTTCCAGAGCCAGAGCCATGCGTAGAGGTGAGTCCGACTATTTCTAGCCGGAACCTCTCAACCTCACATACCAGCTCAGGCTACTTCCCCACCAGTGAGGTGACGTTCCACGTCCCATAGCCAGCTTCTGTAGCCGAGGATCAGACCGCCAGGATCCCCGCACTCGGCCACCACCCATCCCATAATGCACCCGACCCCTTTGGTCCCTCCCACAGGTGGTGAGCCCATGGGAAGGGGGACCCACGTCTCCTCTTCGGGCTGTGCCCGGCCGAGCTCCATGGGCAAAAGCCCAGCCACCAGGCGCTCGCCTGCGTGCCCCACCTCCAGGCCTGGCTCCAGAGTGGGGCCCCGGTGACCCACGTCCGGGCGAGGGAACATTAAGTCCATTTCTTGTTTTCATTATAGGGGTCTTTGGGCTGCACTTCGTCTGGTCCCTCACTTAGGACCTGTCTGCCTTGGGTGACCCTACCAAAGGCGTAAAGCCCCTGACAGCATAACTGCTGTTCTGATATCATATGAAAATGTGAACAGCATGATGAGGACTGTTTAAAATTTTTTTAATTGAACCAGGAAATTTATTGGTCGATTCAAGGATCAAAACCGTAGTGAATTTTTCCGTAGAGCTGCTTGTAAGAGAACAGCAAGTTCAAGTTGTTCAAAAAGTACTGAAACTGAACAGATGGATGTGTGCATTCAAAGGTTTGGAGAAGGTCACATGACAATCACCTGTGAAAGGTTATGCTTTTTAAATATTGATTAATAGACCATTTTAACTTTCAATAAAAAAATGAAATATTTCATCTTTGTGAATAACATTTAAAATGTTATTTAGGACTGTAACAATAGGTTACACTCTTCCCTCAAGGACACATTTTACACAGTAGCTACATATTGTGCAGGTATAAAGCAGCAACCTGTTTTTTGTGCGAACTGCTATGTCAGTCAGATATTAAATTTTTGAATAAAGAGGTGGAAATTAAAACATTTGGGTTGTTTTGCCGATTCATCAGGAAAAAAATAATGGGCCTATTAATCGATTATTGAAATAATTCAATTCAATTCAGTTTATTTATATAGCGTCAAATCACAACAAAGTTGTCTCAGGGCACTTTACAGGAACATTCACATATATAAAAGCCAATTAGTAAAGTTCTCTATCTAAGGAAAATAATCATTAGTTGCAGCCCTAATTTTATTATTCATTGAGTACCATTTTTGTCAGATAATCAACCGTTTCCCAGCCTTTGTTTGTAATTAAATTTACATGAGACTCATTTAAAAAACGTATCCATGCCTCATCCACTTCTGCATCATCACCTCCATTTGCAAACTCCGAATAAATTCCACTTGGTTCAGGGTATACAAGTCTTATTTAATTTACTGCACATGATAGAACGACTCTGTGGATTCTTCTTCCCAACCTGCCGTGCATCCACCATGGAAACTGATGATATGATGCATATCTGGAAGCCCTGAAACAAGAAATATTTGAAATATAAGTTCTGCTCCGAAAGCACCATTAGCAGTAGCTTACACGATATTAAAACTAGGAAAATAATTAATGAATGTTTAAGTGACATTGAAGCATCTTTCAGTCTTTGTAGCAGGCCTAAACATTATCAGAATCCCTAACATATGCTTACCGTAAACAGCTTCGGTTAGAAACTGCAGCCATTTGCAGCATATGCTATCCATCTGGATTTGCATCTCCAAGCAGCAGCCACACAAACAGCGTCTTCGGCCAACTCTTTCCTCTTCATCCGTTTGGTCCTCCTCATCTTCATTACCCCTTGTGAGTTCTACATTGACATCAATTTAAACGCGCTCCGGTTCAAATTGAAAAGGAGTAACGTTAATCATCACTGTTTCAGCTGGACGGAGCTAGCACTACAGGACCATAATACGTCAATGACCCAGAATGCATTGCAGCGTAAAAAATATGGTGACGTTCGAGTAACAACATTTTATTTAAATTTATAAAAGCCAAACAGCCTACAACATTTTTACTGTATTGTTTTTACATTTGAAATAAATATTTCTCTAATAAAAGTATATTTTAAAAACTAATCATGGTTTCCTTTAAAAATGTTTACTCCATGTTTAGGATATAAGTAAGCACTAAACCAACATATGCATTCTTTTGAGTGTTTGAGTGAAAGGGGAATAAAAGTTATGAAGTGTAGAAATTGTGGCAGCAAGGAAGGAACCTGTAAATTATTTGGTTTTAATAATTACGTGCAGGTTGACAAAACTGACTAAAATGATTATTTTTTGTCACTTACTTGGCACAGTGTAATTTAATGTTGTGAGGGCTGCATGATGTCAGGTCATCTTCTGTTATGAGTCTATCACTAAATCAGAAAACAGTAAAAGCCCTAAATTCACTGCTGGTGGTTGTTAAAACGTTCACTGGGTAAAGTTAATATTATTTAAACATGTAGTTCAGTGTCAACATTGCTTAGTACAATGGCATGTTGTGATACAAAAAACAAACAAAAAAAAAAAAGTCAAGTGCACCCCTGAAGCCGTTGTTTGTGATAAATTGTTTCACATAAATATCTTAGATCTTATGTCATAGGAGTGAATTTAAAAACAGGACGATGCACATATGGGCTAGTTGAACAAGGTGTCTCTAAAATATCGAGGCACGCTCTGTAATTTCAACATTTTTTTAATCCTTCCAGAGAACCTGACTTAATTTTGTTAAATGTCTCTAAAATAATTATTGAATCAAGCGTTTACAAATGTAGGTAAACATAGATGTTTAACAATCCATTAAAATACACCAGAATGCAGGAAATAGCATCTGTTTTATTCAAAAATTTGGGGGGAGAGGACCCCCAGACACACTACCCCCCAACCCCCCCCCGTGTGCCGCCCCACAGGCAGCCCACCACCATGGTTAAAATAAATCCTAGAGGAAACCCTGATATATATATACACACGTATGCTGTGTGTATATAATATATATATATATATATATATATATATATATATATATATATATACATATATATACATATATATACATATATATACATATACACACGCACGCGCGTGTGCCGGTATATAATATTCGTTTTATTAGCTTGAAATATCTTTCATTCAGTATTGTGGGATATTTTTCATTTGAACGTTATTTCGCAGGAAGCCTACACTTATCTTTTCAGGAAGTCTAATTTTTTTGTGTCATGCTATCAGCTAGCTTCCATTCTTTTATATTAGCAATAGAATATTATATAGCAATAGAATATTATATAGCAATAGAATATTATATAGCAATAGAATATTATATAGCAATAGAATATTATATAGCAATAGAATATTATATAGCAATAGAATATTATATAGCAATAGAATATTATAAACACACACAATGTGTTGGAAAACAGTGTTTGGTGGCTGACTGATATTTGTCAGGCTAAGGTGAACATGACAAAAGTTGTAAAAATACTGATTCTCTCGGCGATTAAAAAAACAACACGAAACTGTGTAAGAAAAACTTATTTGAGGTTTTATATTTATTACCAGGAGATGTTGATTAAAATGAAAGTTACAACCATGATTCGATGATGTTGAGTCATTTTGCCAAGAAAGCTATCAGAAGTGCCGGGAAGACGGTCGGACCCGCCTCTGTGCGCGCTCCCGACACGGGAACAGAATTTCGCACAAGACCAGTTCTATGAGTAATTGCTATTGGAAAATCTTGGAACCGAGTTGAACCGTGCTGTACCGTTACTAATGGAAAAGTGCCACATGACCGCTGTTCTGTCTGTTCTGCATACATTGTCAGATCGTCATAAGCATAGCATAAACTGACTGCTGTATTTGTTTGGTCAGCATATGTTGTCAGATCACCATATTTATTCAACCTATATGCTCTTTATGTAACTAAATCAGCCATATGACAACATGACGCAACAGATTACCTGTCAGTCACTGTTATTAACAGCTAATGACTTAGCAGTTAACCTGTCAGATCATCATACTTTCTTCTTAACAGCTTTATGATGAAATGACGGCTCCTCCTCTAAGCAGGCCTCTTGCAGAATACACATGCACGCGCACTGAAAATTGTATAAATACACAATAATGCACCAAGACAATGTACTGACTTGCTTTTGTCTTATTTTTTAGTGTATGATAAACGGACGACTCCTCTAAACGTCGCGGGCCTCTTGCAGGTTGCGCACGTGCATGTATTAACATGTATGCAGAACGGATAGGATAACATGCGGCCTTCGAAGCATACAGGCCCTGAATTTAGACACGGCCTTAAATATCTTCTCTGCTAAGTGTGTAAAACTGTTGTTTTATCCTCGATGACATTAGTTTGAATAGGACATCTCCAAACTGAGAATTATTAAGAGATAAAAAGAGCCTCCTGATTCTTGATCTAATATTTTAGTTTCTAGATCTTGTCCACCTTAGCGCTAGCTTCTGTTAGCATGCTAAGCTACAAACACGGACAACAGATTTACAAGTTCTTGTTAAGAAGTTAAATCCATCAACTACCTAGAAACCACAGCTAGCTAACATCGTCTGATGCTGAATGAAACAAACAAACCTGCGCTCATTTTCTCTCCAACTCGACAGCTCCTCTTCGTAATCTGAGATTATTCCTTCAAAAAGACCCGATGTTTCTCCACAGCTTCCTCCAGTCTGTTGGACCCGCTGTCTCCACGGTTTTACTCCTCGGTGAACTTAGTTCTAGGTTGGATCTTGGACACATTCACTCCGTGGATTCAGCGGTGTCTTCGACCCGTTTCACCCGCTGCTGGCAGCGAGATCACGGTCAGATCTCCTCGCAGTGTTGCCAGATAGAGTCGAGGTTTTCCAGCCCAAAAGTCTGTTAAAAACTGCCACATCACACAAAAACCCGCCCAATCAATATATTATTATATTTATTGTTTGAACACACACACAAATGTGTGGATATATATATACACACCTAATACACCCCCACCCTCTGTAAAGATATATTGGTGTATATATGTTCATAAAAATCAGTTAAATCTGAAAGTTAGTGTTCTTTTATTCATTCAACCTTTATTTAGACAGGTAATACCATTGAGCCTCGAGGACTCATTTACAAGAGAGACCTGATTTCAACAAAGAATGAAGACAACAGTGAACAACAGCAACAACAATAAACAATTATAAAAAGTCATACAGGTTTTTTTTTGTGTTTTTTTTTTACAAATAGGATGGCTAAAAGAAAAAGGTTACAAAAAAACAGGTAGATTATAAGGCAAATGTAGAAAACTAAAAACAGGAACATGTCTGCATTGGTCCCTGCCAAGAGTCCAACAGGTTCTTAAAGCCACTTAGAGAGGTCAAGGTCGAGAGCTTCAATTGTTTATTATAATTCTTTATTCAATAAATCTGCACGTCACATTTCAGGATCTGGTTAGACACAGATTAAATATTAAATATGAATATTTCTGTATTTATCACCACATTCATCATTATTCCATCTGCCAGGGCGTTCACAACAGAGAACTGGTGAGGCAGTTAGTGGACACCTTGTTGAATGGGCTGACCCATCGCAGCGGTAAAGCACCGTTCTATAAAGTGTTTTATGTTAATCCCTGTCATTCACACACATTAATACTGAGATTTAAACCTCAGTATTAACCTCAGAAGTAAACCTGAGTGGTTTACTTTTCTTAACAAAGCTGATTTTATTAAGGTTTCTCTGCTTACGCACTAAAACTAATATCTTATAAAAACTCAGCCCATATAAACTTCAGACAGGGTAATGCTGTTTCTGTTCAGATTTAACAACGTTATCAAAGTTTAAAATTTACCTTTCTGCAGAAGAAGCTGCTCCTCTCGATCCACTTCTCTTGTGGAGGTGGAAAACGGGGCAGGTGCGTTCATGGGCTCAACACAGGTGGAAATTTACATTTACTTCTACATAAACACTATTTTGAAACTAATAAACCACCCAGTTACATATTATTATTCTTCCTCTTGTGTAGGATGATAGTCAGGACCTTCTATTTGGACATTATCATCGCTCAGATCAGCATCAGAATCTTCAGGTTGTTCTGGTATCAGAGCCTGAGATTTGTGTGTCCTTGTACCATAAAAGGTTTTACTGTCCATCTAGTATTTGTTGATAAAATTGAAGAACAATGTGAAAATTTAGGCATATGCGTCTGTTAAGAGGTTGGAATATGTCAGCATAAGTCAATAAGTGATATATTAGTTTTGTGTCAATGCAATTATTATGAAGACAAATCAACCGTTTGGTAACGTGTTTTTAGAAAATTAATTGACCTTCATAACATTGTTTCACCAAAATATTACTATATAATGTTTAGTAAAACCTCTGACATTGTACTATGTTGAAAAAAATATGCCTACCTTTGAGATTTTTGGCAAAAAAAATAAAAACCTCATTGCTAGCATTCTCATCCCATGCTAACTTCCTGTGAGGAAGATTCTTGAACAGGCCAATGTTTCACTGACACAGTGCCATCTAGTGGATAATTTTGGCATTACAGGTGTCAACTAATTGATAGAAAAGACTCAATAAGGTAGGTCAAGTTTAGTGCATGCCTCACTTAGATACAAGGCCTCAAATTCTACTCTACTAATTGGTTGACCAGAACGCTTTAAGTAAAAGTTCAACTGAGACACACCTTGGCTTTAATTTCTAGCAAACAAATAATTGTTTTCGGTGCTATTCTTGTTAAACCTCGAAGAAATGAGCAACGTTCCTACTTATATCCCTCCCTCTGTGCTCTCCTGGAGCACAGAGGCATCGAATACTTTTGAAAGACAGCTGATTTGACCATTAAAGTCCTTTTATTAAGCAAACGTTAGACTGAAACACACCTTTCCTAAAAAGTCGAGCTAGCAAGTAATTGCTTTTAGGTGGTTATCTTGTTAAATATGCACAGCAACTCGTTGCGTGCACGCGTTTAATTCCGCATACTGGACCGGACTGACCTGGATTAGGGCCGGGTCATTATAATGGGATTAATGGGCGGGCCGGGCTTTAATGCAGTTTTATGAATCATACAGCAGAAATCGAACTAAATAATGCACAATATAACATTGTGTTAGTCCACTTAGAGGAGGCAGTAAGTTTACCGATGAGGAATATAATAAAATAAGAGTGCAGAAATTAGACTGTGAAAAGGAAGTAGGGCAGGCAGCGCATTGTGCAACAATTACACATGGCCCCGTTTGCCTTGCTCCTCTTATGACACATCTAAGGATTAGCACTGAGCAAGATTTATTAGGCCCAAATGCAACTCTGGGTGTGCGTGTAAAATTCAGGACTGTGCCACCAAATCATGAGGACAGCAGGTAAGCAAATATCAAACATAATTAAGAACCAAAAATGGAGCCCATTTATGCAAATTTCTAGTTGAAAACATCCAAAAATTCAATTGAACTGTTTTTCCTCCATTGTTGGTTCTCATGTGTTTAAAAGCGGACTCTAGTTGTCGACTGAAGTCTTGACGTTTTACTTCTAGAAGAGGAACTAAGGAGCGCTTAGGTTGTTGTGAACTCTTGTGTGGCTGTTTAAATAATGGCTAAATCTTTATCAACAATCCTCAAATTCAAACGGTATCTGTCCAGTGTGGACAGTCCTGTGTAAGTTTAAAGTTAACTCATGGCTGAACCTTTGTCCACAAAGCTCACATTTAAGTAGTTTCTGTCCAGTATGGACACTCATGTGAGAGTTTAAATCTGTTGTTTGCCTAAACCTTTGTCCACAAAACTCGCATTCATATGGTTTTGCTTCTGTGTGGATTCTAATGTGCGAGGTTAAATTTGACTTCTGGTTAGTTTGATATCCGCAAATATCACATTTAAATGGCTTCTGTCCTGTATGGAGATAGATGTGTCCGGTTAAACGGTATTTATTTATAAATGTTTGTCCACAAATCTCACATTCATAAGGTTTCTGTCCTGTGTGGACTCTCATGTGTGTGTTTAAACTTGACTTCTGCCTAAATCTCTGTCCACAATTTTGACATTCATAAGGTTTATGTCCGGTGTGGATTCTCATGTGTGAGTTTAAACGTGACTTATGGCTAGCTTGATGTCCACAAATCTCACATTTAAATGGTTTCTGTCCTGTATGGAGATACATGTGTCCCTTTAAACTGTATTTATAGCTAAATCTTTGTCCACAAATCTCACATTCATATGGTTTTGCTTCTGTGTGGATTGTCATGTGTGAGTTTAAACGTGACTTATGGCTAGCTTGATGTCCGCAAATCTCACATTTATATGGTTTCTGTCCTGTATGGAGAAACATGTGTCCATTTAAACGGTATTTATAGCTGAATCTTTGTCCACAAATCTCACATTCATATGGTTTTGCTCCTGTGTGGATTCTCATGTGGGAGTTTAAATTTGACTTTTGGCTAAATTTATGTCCACAATACTGACATACATAAGGTTTCTCTCCTGTGTGGATTCTCATGTGTGTTGTTAAATTTGTTTTACTTTTAAGACTTTTACCACATTCATCACAACTAAAGGATTTTGGACCTGTCTGGACTTTCCTGTGTCTCTCTACACTTTTCTTCTCTCTGACACTTTTCTTCAGACCCAAACAGCTTGAACGTCTTACTGTTGAATGACAAGCCAAGTGTCTCTGAAGAGACTGGTTGTGCAGAAATTGTTTACCACACACAGAGCAGCTGAAACATTTGTTGACAGAGTTTACAGCTGACTCAGGAGCTCTGCTCTCCTTAAAGTCTTTGTCACCGTCTTCAGTTGTTGACCCAGAGTCTGACAAGTGTTCCAGCTGAGAGTCAGAATTGTTCCCATTCTCGTCCTCTTCATCATCCTCACTAACTTCAGTCTCTGAAGAGCTGGAAGCATCTCCATGAAGATTTAAATCTGGGTTCCTGCTGGTTTCTGCTCCTCCACAGCCCTTTCCATCAGCTTCTACTTTCATCTGGTCTGTAGAGCCACTGGTTGGAACAGCTCTTTCCTCAATTTGATGCTGATGAGGTAGTGAGGACAGAGGCTTCTCTTCATCTTTCTCACTCTTCATAGGAACTGTGGTGAATGAAAACCTGCTGACATCAGTCTCATCCTTCACATTGAGCTGATCTCCCTCTAATCTGGTCCAGAGTTCCACCTCTTCCTCCTTTATGTGGAGGGGCTCTGGATTCTGCTGATGAAGATGTGAGAACAGAGGCTTCTCTTCATCATCCTCAGTCTTCACAGGAACTGCAGTGAGTGAAAACCTGCTGGCATCAGTCTCCTCCTTCACAATGACCTTCTCTCCCTCCAATTGGGTCCAGAGTTCCTCCTCTTCCTCTTTTATGTGGCGGTGCTCTGGGTCCTGTTGGTCCACATCAGGCTTCCATTCCTCAGGAGCATCTACTCTGATCTGAACATCAGCAGGAAACACTGAAACACAAACAATATGGACTGAATATAACTTTATATTCACTCATACATCACTTGCGTTGTTGATTCATGTTATGTGGATCAATTCAATTCAATTCAGTTTATTTATATAGTGCCAAATCACAACAAAGTTGTCTCAGGACACTTTACAGGAACATTCACATACATAAAAAAGCCACTTAGTAAAATTCTCTGCCTAAGGAAGCCAGCAGACAAGTTGAATCTTGGCTTCAATGCAGTCTCCCATCCTGAGCAAGCACAGTGGCAACAGTGAAAAGGAAAAACTCCTTTTTAAAAGGACGAAACCTCCAGCAGAACCAGGCTCAGGACAAGCGGCCATCTGCTTTGACCGGCTGGTTTGAGAGGACAGAAAGGAGAGACGGACAAACACAGAATGGTAGGTCCAGGTATATCTGAAAGACCAAAAAAACTCCACATGTTAAGGATAGAAAAAATCATTACAAATACAAAACAGGTTGAGCAGAGTAAGTAAAGACAGTAGCAGAGTCAAAAAGTGTGGTCAGTTTGTCCTCCAGCAGTCTAAGCCTATAGCAGCATAACTAAGGGACAGCTCAGGAAACCCAAGCCGATCCTAACTATAGAATTTAGCAAAAAGAAGAGACTTAAGCCTAATTTCAAAACTGGATAATGTGTCAGCCTCACGGACAGAGATTGGAAGTTGGTTCCACAAGAGAGGAGCCTGATAACTGAAAGCTCTGCCTCCCATTTTGTTTTTGTAAATTCTAGGAACCACAAGTAAACCTGCAGCCTGAGAGCGAAGTGCTCCGTTAGGAAAATATGGAACAATAAGATCTGTAATATAAGACAGCACGGACTTTGGCTGGACTGCTGCGGGATGATGCGGACAGAACGAGGGAGTGACGTCGAGAGCGAAAAGGAGCCAGTGTGTGATAATGTCTTTTTGAGCCTCTTCAATTCTGACACTGAAGAAGAGGACTTCCATGGTTTCAGTGTACAGAGGACAGAGAACAGAGCGATGAGTGACACTGGTCGACCATCTGTGCTTTTTTATTAAGTCGTGTTAAAGCTGTCCCCCTCCAGTTGGCCAAGATGTGGGATCAGCTGAGCAGAAGTACTCTAAGCAGTCAAGTCTGTACACATTTGAATAAAAGTTTTTTAATTCTTTGTTTGACATCTTTCTGTGTACGGTACGTGTGTTTAAATACAGAGATGTAAAAAAAAAAGGTAAACTTTTAACAACAACATTTGTGACTGTCCTGTGGCCCTGATCTTACTTTTGTCCGTCTCTGTCCTCCTCACCTCAGGGTCAGAGGCTCCTGTGAGGAGAACATAAACATAAATCAGTGAGCATTCGTGAACTGTTTAACCAGCTGACTGGACAGATGAGCACATTTTTACAAGCTAAGCTTCATCTGTTACTGTCAATTTTAATTAGCTTTTGATTTTAGCTAGCTACATAGATAGCCGTAAAATAAAGCTACACACTAATATCTTCTAGTTAGCATTAGATGGATCCTAGTTAAGGGGCCATTTAAACGGAGCGTATTTTGAGTGCATCCGCACCTTTCTCTCTGCAGTTCTGCTGATCATTTACACGACACCAGTGGCCCCCCTCTTTGAATCTGGAGGTTTCTGAACCCACCTTCCAGAGTGGAGGTTTTTCACTGCCCCCCCCCCCCCCGGCTGATAATGTAAACATCTCCCGCTGAGGCTTTGTGTTAAACCACATGCGCACATGCGGACAGACGCTATACTTCTATCAACATGGCGGCGGACACACTGCTTTCAGAACCACGACTGATGGAATATATTTTTAATCTCGTAGTTAATCTATGTCAGATTCCAGGTGCTGTGACCGACATCTGTGTTGGAAGAGACACAATCTGATCCAGGTCTAATGTCGCGGTTTATAGAACGTGGCACACGCACACGTCGCGCTGCACTATAGCATCTATATGTGCTAAATAATAAGTTTAATAATAATAAACAGTATTTATGTTAGCGTGAGAGATAATGAAGCTCTGAGCTAAATGAAGCTATCTGGACATTATGTAATTCAAATTTAAAATGATGCTAAACATATAGTGTGAACACTAAAGTTGAAAATGAAGACATCAGGTTTAATTTTTATTTATTTATTCAACACCACAAACTGTATGTCACACAAACACGGATAATTAAACTGAACACACTATTAAAACACGTCAACTGAACTTGAATGGATTGAATAAAAGAACTGAGGGGAATTTTAAATAAATAGTTCATCCAACATCTCTCTTCGACGTCCTCCTGCAGTTCATCAGGGCCGAGCCTCGTTCAGAACTGGTCCGCCTGGTGGGAGGACAGCTTCTTCTTCTTTCAGGAAAAAATAAAAACTCTGTTGTTTTGTAACCGAAGTAAACACAAACTAAAATAATTAAGAACATTTGATTTACCTGCTGTAAAACAGCTACTGATTATCACGGAGTAAAGTCCGACATTGACTCGGTTCTGGTCCACTCAGTGACCGGTGTGGAGCTGTTAGATGAAGCGGTACCGCTTGGCATCAAATCCGTCGACTCTTTTATCCAAAATCCAGCCAGAATCCAGCTTTAACTTGTTGTTACGTTACGTTGTTGTTAGCTTAGCCCAGAGAAAAACAACGTGCCGAGGCAGCACGCATGCGCATTAGGTGAAGGTACAAATTCACAGCGCCAACTAATGACCTGGCATGGTAACTACAGCAGATTCGGGAGGGCGGGGGGAAATCCTCCGGATGCATGTAAACCTAAAATGCAACCGTGTCAACGAAAATCTTTTCCTCTAATTAACATACGAAAAAACCTATGTTTCCCCCCATCGTGTCCGTGTAATTAGGGCCTAACTCACCACGATGCACGTATTAAGCTGCAGTAACGTTAACAAATGTAAACTTACCAGCTGAAACCCCAGACACAGCTCCGTCCTAGGTGCGAAGCGGAGTCCGGTCGTGGAGATGTTGAATCAGGCCGTTCAGGTTCCAACACACACAGGATGACTAACGCTGAGAGAGGAGGAGGGGAAGCTGCGTCCTCGCTCCTTGCAGACAAACACGGAGCAACTTTCAGCTCGTAAATTGAAGCGGTTCGACGACACGCGCTGCACACGTGAACCCCGTCTGTAGGTGTAACCAGCGCCATAGACATACGGCTAATGCTTGACAGGTGCTTGTTCTGCTCATTACAGACTACTCATTCAGTTTTTTTAAAATAAGCATGATAAATATTTATTTAGATAACAATATATTTATCATACCTGCAAAATTAGAAGGGATGAAAAATATGACAAACCTAACCACAAAATTTTGTTATTTTTTTTAACATGTAAGTTAAGCATTCTGTTATACACCAAAAAGAAAAATAGGGGAAAATACAACATGCTTCAGGTAAAAAAGATGTTTAATAACATGTCTCATGCCTTTCCTTATGAGGGACGCAAGAAAGGGAGAGGGAGGTAAAATTCAGGACTGTGCTGCCAAAACAGGATAGCAGGTAAGCACATATCAAACATAATTAAGTAACAAACATGGAGCCCACTTACGCAAATTTCTAGTTGAAAAAACGCAAAATTCAATTGAACCATTTCCCCTCCCTTGTTAGTTCTCATGTGTTTAAAAGCAGATTCTAGTTTTAGACTGAAGTCTTAAAGTTTTACTTCTGGAGGAGGACATAAGGAATACTTAGGTTACTGAGAACTCTTGTGTGTCTGTTTAAATGATTGCTAAATAACGGTCAACAATCCTCAAATTCAAACGGCATCTTTCCTGTGTGGACAGTCATGTGTAAGTTCAAAGTTATCTCATGGCTGAACCTTTGTCCACAAAGCTCACATTTAAGTAGTTCCTGTCTAGTATGGACACTCATGTGAAAGCTTAAATCTGTTGTTTGCCTAAATCTTTGCCCACAAAACTCACATTCATATGGTTTTGCTTCTGTGTGGATTCTAATGTGTGACTTTAAACTTGACTTATGGCTAAATCTCTGTCCACAATTCTGACATTCATAAGGTTTCTGTCCTGTGTGGACTCTTGTGTGTGAGATTAAATTTGACTTCTGGCTAAATCTCTGTCCACAATTCTGACATTCATAAGGTTTCTGTCCTGTGTGGACTCTCATGTGTAAGTTTAAACTTGTCTTTTGGCTAAATCTCTGTCCACAATTCTGACATTCATAAGGTTTCTGTCCTGTGTGGACTCTCATGTGCGAGTTCAAATTTGACTTCTGGTTAGTAAGATGTCCGCAAATCTCACATTTAAATGGCTTCTGTCCTGTATGGAGATACATGTGTCCATTTAAATGGTATTTATACATAAATTTTTGTCCACAAATCTCACATTCATAAGGTTTCTGTCCTGTGTGGACTCTCATGTGCGTGTTTAAACTTGACTTGTGGCTAAATTTCTGTCTACAAATCTCACATTCATAAGGTTTTTGTCCTGTGTGGATTCTCATGTGTGAGTTTAAACGTGACTTACGGCTAGCTCGATGTCCGCAGATCTCACATTTATATGGGTTCTGTCCTGTATGGAGAAACATATGTCCATTTAAATGGTATTTATAGTTAAATCTTTGTCCACAAATCTCACATTTATATGGTTTTGCTCCTGTGTGGATTCTCATGTGCGAATTTAAATTTGACTTTTGGCTAAATCTATGTCCACAATTCTGACATTCATAAGGTTTCTCTCCTGTGTGGACTCTCATGTGTGCTGTTAAATTTCTGTCACGGTTAAATTTTTTGCCACATTCATCACAACTAAATGACTTTGGTCCTGTCTTGACTTTCCTGTCTGACTCTACACTATTCTTCTGATCCAAACAACTTGAATGTCTTCCTGTTGAATGACATGTCAAGTGTCTCTGAAGTGACTGGTTGTGTAGAAACTGTTTACCACACTCAGAGCAGCTGAAACATTTGTTGACAGAGTTTACAGCTGACTCAGGAGATCTGCTCTCCTTCCAGTTTTTGTCACTGTTTTCAGTTGTTGACCCAGAGTCTGACAAGTGTTCCAGCTGAGAGTCAGGATTGTTCCCATCCTTGTCCTCTTCATCGTCCTCACTGACTTCAGTCTCTGAAGAGCTAGAAGCATCTTCATGAGGATTTAGATCTGGGTTCCTGCTGGTTTCTGCTCCCCCACAGTCCTCTTCATCAGCTTCTACTTTCATCTGGTCAGCTGAGCTGCTGGTTGGAACTTCTCTGTCCTCCATTTGGTGCTGATGAAGTTGTGAGAACAGAGGCTTTTCTTCATCTTCCTGCCTCTTCAGTGGAACTGCAGTGAATGAAAACATGCTGACATCAGTCTCCTCCTTCACACTGAGCTGCTCTCCCTCTAATCTGGTCCAGAGTTCCACCTCTTCCTCCTTTATGTGGAGGGGCTCTGGATTATGCTGATGAAGCTGTGAGAACAGAGGCTTCTCTTCATCATCCTCAGTCTTCACAGGAACTGCGGTGAGTGAAAACCTGCAGGCATCAGTCTCCTCCTTCACAATGAACTTTTCTTCCTCCAATTGGGTCCAGAGTTCCTCCTCTTCCTCTTTGATGTGGCGGCGCTCTGGGTCCTGCTGGTTCACATCAGGTCTCCATTCCTCAGGAGCATCTGCTCTGATCAGCAGAGTCTGCTGAACATCTGCAGGAAACACTGAAACAGAAACAATATGGACTGAATATAATTTTATATTCACTCATACATCACTTGTGTTGTTGATTAATGTTCTGTGGATCAGAACTGTTCCAAGTCAAAGGAACAAAATTTTATTCAGTAAGAGACAAACAAATGTCTGTTTATCATAAAAAAAAACAATAAAATGTTTAAATTAAATCACCTGATATGGGTATTTGAAAAATTTTGAAGTTTTACTTTATCAACGTTCGCAAATCATAAATAATCAGATTAAAGAAAACAATAAAATCAGTGAATGAGTCCAATGTTTTGCCATTACTTAAAATTAGTGAAGACTCAAATTATAAGAATGTGGTGTTACATTGCATCAGTATTATGACATAATAGCTCATACATAATTTGAAACGTGATCTTTTATGTTTGTATCTGTCTTGTCCATTGTGCATGAATTTGCTAACAGAAAATACTTTATAAATCAAAACAAATCTGTGTCAACATAATAAATTACACGCTATTTTAAAATACCTACCATAATTGTCTGTGTGTAAGCCGTTACTTTTGTCTCACACTTTGTACCCTGCGGTTTATATGCAGGAGCATCTTATTTATGTATTTTTTTTTCAAAATTTATATTTTTTGTTTTATTTTGAAAGACTTCCTGTCATTTCTCAGCACCTTCCTGCCACTGTCTGATTTACTTTTGATAAGGCTAGGTGCTCTTGGCTCCCAACACCCCACCCTTATTGGGGGCAGGGATTTGTAACACAGGGAGAATGCCTGCAGGTAATCAGATGAGCTACGATTCTAGGTCATGGTTTCAAAATTCACTACCATAACTCCACCTATTCTGTCATCATGTGGCCAGAAGTGTAACCTTAATGACCAATGAGATACTGTCATTGACCCATCCTCCAAGACACATGTGCATTAATGAGTCTTCCTGTTTACAGTAAACAAAGGTAAAAAAAAAGCGTGCTAAGTTATTCAGATTCTTCAGATAAGTTACTGTGTTTTATGCCTCGAGCACAGCACGGACTTTGGCTGGACTGCTGCGGGATGATGCAGACAGAACGAGGGAGTGACGTCGAGAGCAACAAGGAGCCAGTGTGTGATAATGACTTTTTGAGCCTCTTCAATTCTGACACTGAAGAGGACTTCCATGATTTCAGTGCATAGAGGACGGAGAACAGAGCGATGGTGGTCGACCATCGGCGTTTTTTAATTTTATTTTTTAAAGCCATGTTAAAGCTGTCCCCCTCCAGTTGGTCAAGATGTGAGCTCCTCTGAGCAGAAGTACTCTAAGCAGTCAAGTCTGTACTTATTTTAATAAAAAAAAGTTTTAATTCTTTCTGTGACATCTTTTTGTGTACGTTTAAATACAGAGATCTACTGGAATTTTAAGCTCACATCCAAACATTAAACGGCGCAGAGACAACAGGTGGGGCTGTTCCCACTCCCCGCCCCCCCTTCTCATGTAAGCGCAGCAAAGTCAAGATTTCATTTTAAAGCAGTCAGTCAAGACTGGTACATATTTAAATCAAAGTTTAAAAAAATATTTCTGTCTATGGTAAATGTGTTTAAATACCAGTAGGTATATTATTTAAGCTCGTCTCACTCATGAAACTGAGCGGGGAGAAGGAGGGGGGCTGGTCCCCCTTACTCCCTCCCCTCCTCATTAGCGCTGAAGAGAAATCCTGTCATATTTAAGATAATTTAGAAAGTAAAGGTAGAATTAAAAACAGCAGTTGATATCAATACTGTTTAACAATAAAAATCAGTGGTACTACCAGTGATTTAATGAATATTTCCCACATTTATTTGTACTACGGTATTACACTTCTGGTCACATGACCCCGTTAAGACTTCTGGGTAATATTTCCCGGTATATAATTTTTAAATAATTTCAGTTACATAGGTGTTTGGCACCTTAATGTCCAGTGATTATGCTTACCAGTAGATATTTACCGGTACTTTGTTCATTTTGAAGGAATAATGTTTGTCACCATGAGTTCTAGAATTGCGCTGCTCAAGGTGGCTGCATGTTGGAGCAGCTCTGTTATTTTCATTCAGAAATTTTGCTTTTGGAAACTAATTCCGCTTTTTCTGGATGTAAATCACATTTTTTGGATGATTGTTTCCTCTGGTATCAGATGCTGTGCAGCTGGAAGGATTTTTACTGAAACTTTTTAAGTTTTGGACATTTGTTATGATGCGTAACCATGGCAACAAGGCAATTTTCTACAACCAACAACAGCTGATTAACAACTCAAAAGCTCAAATAATATCTCAGCTACAGCCCCAAATCTCAAACGAGTTGAAAAGGATGTTCTGCGGATGCATTCTCATCTACCTGCCAGCTGTGCTCGAGTGCCTGACCACTGAGGTCCTGGAACTAGCAGGAAACATGGGTCATGACAGTGGAAGGACAGGATTGTCACTCGGCACCTACAGTTGGCTGTCTGCAGTGACGAGGAGCTTGGCAGACTGCTGGGAGTGGCCATTGCTCTGGGAGGAGTTCTGCCCGGCATTCACGCGATCCTACAGCCCCGGAGAACCGAGAGGCCAGCCGAGTCTAGGTGGACGGATCGGACAGCATCTGCAGCCAGTTTCTTAGGATCCACAGTGGGATGGACCTTTACAAGAGATCCTTCCTGTCTACAGCCATCAGCATCTATAACATCTCTTAATGAAATGAAGATAACGAGTTACAACAACAAATAATTTCCCTTACGGATTAATAAAGTATTTTTGAATTGAATTGAGTCTAATACTGAAGCTTTATGTATACTTAGGATCACCATTCAATCTTCGTGTATGTTAAAAGCAAGCCATAATTTGTGAATGCCATCAACTGGCTGATTCTTGTACTACAACAAGAACAGAATGAACTGGGCATTCACTGTACAATGAATACCCTCGGCTCAACAGCTGGTGCGTCTTATTTATGTACAAAATTATGATTTTTCTTAAATTGCATATGTGCAACTTATACACTGGTGCTCTTTGTAGTCCCGAGAATTACAGTAATACTTCTAATAAGCCTGGATAAATATGTAGAACTCCCAGTTTTTCCAGTTTCATAACTTTATTTAATCCAGATTTAATAATAATAATAATAATAATGTCATCACAATGTCAGCACTGTATGTTTCCATACAATGGCGAAATTAGTCTCTGCATTTAACCCATCCACCACCTGGTGGTGCAGTGGGCAGCTATTGAAAGCGCCCGGGGGACATTTTGGGGATGAGACGTGCTGCCCAGAGACGCCACGTGATGTGCAGTGACTGGGGATCGAACCTGGGACTTTCGGGTCCCAAGCCGGCTGCCCTGCCTCTACACCATAAGTGAGATTAATTAGTAGAGCAATGACAGGTAGACACAGAAAACACTCACAGCTGTTATTACAGTCAATAATACCAGCTCTATTTTACAAATTCAAATGTTGCAGATACAATTGTGTCATTCAGTCTGTGTGTAGGTTGCAAAATAGTAGGGGTGTAATGGTACGTGTGGGTGTATTTAACCGTTTCGGTATGTCATGTTCGGTTCACGTGCGTACCGTTTAGGTTAATTTTTCACTCAAATTTTATTAACGAAAAATCTCTGGCATAATCATGCGCTGCGGAACTAAAGTTCCTACGTGTGTTTCAGCATGGCGCTTTTATCTTGCAGCACACATAGCATTAGCAGCCTAGCATCTCGTTGCGGTCTCCTGTTTGGGAACATTATGGCTTTCTTGTTAAAAGACAAGTGAACAAATCCAAAGCTGTGTGTTGACGTTGTTTCACAGAGATTGGATCTGCAGCAGCAACACGTCTAACTTGTTAATGCGCTTGAAACAACATCATTCAAACGTGAACGTCTCTTCTACAGAATAGCAGCTTGGTGCAAACACCGATAGTAGCATTTAAACAACCTTTTTCAGGTAATTTAGATGGGTCCAAAGCAATAACACACAAGATGTAGGAGTTTTTAAAGCTCTGGATCTACGTCCGAATGTTGTTGATGCGCCGGCTTTAAGCATAAAGTTCTTGAGCCTCGCTGTCTACGACATCCATCACGTCAACACTTCAGCCAAAAAGTTGTAGCAGCACTTTATGAAAAAGCTAAAATTGATTGTCAACAAGCCCTGGAACTGATTTAAAGCCCTGCCCTGATGATGATGAACAAGAGAATCAACTACCTCATAACAGAAATGATGACTATTCAAGAAGAGGTAATGGTATTGTATTATTATTGTTATTGCATTATTATGATCTAATTAACTTTTTTTAATTTAAAATGATCATCTTATTAACTCCATCTGTGTTGTTTGCAGTCTTGAGGATGTCACCGAGTTCCTCTTCAGGGACATCATTCACCAGATCACCTCCAGCTAAGAAGTCTGTGAAGACTGAACTCTGAACTTTTCCAGAGATAGGTGGGAAGTAGCAAGTCCCTTTTGGAGCAGGTCCAAGAAGAGGTTGTGACTTCAGAGCTTCAGGGTGCCCTTCTATCTCTGTTGCCATTGAGCAGGTTTTCTCCCCTGCTGACATCACATGTGGTACATGAGGTGGGACAAAACTATGTGCACAGGGTCACTTGTCATAT